ATCTGCTGCTCCGATAAGCTAACACCCATTAAGGATAGATGAACTGCCATTCCGATTTATACGCTGATCTGGGAATTCAGATAACATCATTCAGTAAGAACCTGATCATCTCTGAGGGAACTAACTCAAGGCCAGTGTCCAGACCTGAGAGCTAAGTGCTCGGCCCTTGGCCAGGTGGGGCCGCTTTGGGTTCACCAAGTCTTTCCCCACAATGACCACAACTTCTTGCCCTTGGTATACTTCACTTCCTTCTAAAACTTCACTAGTCACAGTTTGGAAGGACTGATAACAAAGATGTTCAGGAGAAAGAAATGACAGAATCTGGTGAGTGCTCAGACACGAGAGTTGAGGATAAACCCCACGATTCTGGTTTGGGTGCCTAAGGAAAAGGAGGTCTGTTATCCACGACCAAAACCCAGGAGACGAGAATGGTGCGACGGAGACAACAGCACCATCAGGACACCCACGGACATTCAGGGAGAGAAGCTCGGTGGGCAGCTGACGAGTGTGGGGCGTTCATGATAGAAATCTGGGCTGTACATTTAACAGCCCTGTTCGTAAACAGGTGGTAATAAATGAAACCGCCTAAAAAGAATGAGTAAGAGAAAAGGCTGGGTGAAAGAGGTATTCAAACCCTAATAATTAATATTTAAGAGGAAAGCAAAAAAGGGGGTAACAAAGTACATCAGAAAGAAAAACTGAGCTGGATGTGGCTGAACCAAGAGGATGAACATTGTATAAGTCAAGAGAAAACTGACCGACCAGGAGGACAGAGGTAAGTGACTGCCATTTCAAATGAACCAGACCAAATAAAAATGCTTTGCCTTGAAACAACAAATCTGGAAAATGTGGTGTCAAACAAGGAAACCTCTGCCCTGTCCACTCCACTGAAAGTTGGTGCTCGACCCGATTTTCCCAGGGGCTCCTGCTGCACGGGGTCAGGACGCACCAACGGGCTGCCTGCACCACGTCCTCGCCCGCACCCACCCGCCCTGCACGTGACCCTGGTTTACTCACTGGACCCCCACGCCCTCGCAGTTGTTGTTCCCAGGAAGGGAGCAGCTCCCTCCCCTCCCCCCCACGCCTGCTCCTGCTCCATGTCGTCACCAGTGTGTTCCTGTGCTCCCGGGTCCACTTTCTACTCTCTGATGCAAAGGAGCCACAACGCTAGGAGTCTCTGAAGACGCCAAAGAACTTGTTTATGGCGTGTCCCTGCTAAGAGCGTAAGACGAAAGTAAAAGTCAGGAAGAACAGCTTGGTACAGGTTGGAAAAATGAGACCTCGTGGATCATCTCACACATCACGGTGGTTGTGAGCAAACTATCTGCGACCTCTTTCACACGGCGTTAATTCTTTTGTGTCCTATTTCTTATTTGTCATCTGAACCAACAAAATAGCTTGAACACACAGTAGTTTTGTGTCTGTAACTGTTAACATTTCTGGTGGATTGAAGAAATGACTACACCTAAAAAATTCTGACTTTGATTAAAAAAAAAAAAGTGCGTAAGTACCCACAATAGTAATGATACTGTCTCTAGTGAGTCAGGTGAATGAAAATAGTCTTTTTTATTGAAATTAGTTCCAGGTTTCAACCGCACTGCTGAGAAAGATAGGAAATTAGAGAAATAAATATTTTAAGAGAAACACACAGCAGTCTCCATTTAAAACTGTGGCCCGCCCACTGAGATTTATGCTTCAGTGAATCACATGATGAGAACACCACAAGAGGTTTGCTTACTTGACAGGCTACCCTGCTGACGTGCGATTCCGGCAGACGGGAGGGGGGAGGGCCTACGGAGCACGGCCTCTCGCTCCTCCTCAAGCGCAGTCAAGCTCTGCCTCCTCCTGTCATTCTCTGCTGATGACAGGCAGGCACACCGCTCTGCTCTGCCAGTGTTCCGTGCTAATGAGCCTCATTGGGCTCCATGCAGCAGAAATGTAAATTAAACATGGTTTCAACAAAAATCGGATTGTGTGTAAAAGAACATTTAATTTTTTAAAACGTATTTTTCTTTTAAATAAAATATGTATTTATCATGGAACACTTAGAGAGCAATACACAAAAAGAAGAAAATGAAAACCATGCACAATCTTGCCCCCAACTCCAGTATAGCCACCATTAAATAACTGCGAGTGTTGAAAAAGAAAACACGTTACTCAGAAGTAATCAAAAATGAAAAGTTGGTTTAGCTGAAAAGCGTAAAGTAAGGATCCCAAGGCATTAAAGACCGCCTGGATTCACCGACTGTCACCCCGTGTTCACGTCTGCTTTATCCGTGTCTGTACACACACATACTTGTCTGCTGTGCTATCCTGTAAGTCACATGCAGGTACTGTGACATGTCACATTTAAATACTCCAGCATGTACTTCCTAGGAACAAGAACACTGTAAGGGAAAGTAAGTTTTTGTGGATCTACCAAAATTGGAGTAATTCTTTTTCTAGAAGAATGGAAGAGATGGTAAAACTGTGACTAGCCTAGAGTACTAAAGCTTATCTTCTTCCTCTTTGTCCCGATCGTGACTCCTCCCTTTGACAGTTCCCCAAGCTCCGCACCATCAATGTGTGGGGCCGTCCCGTGCACTGCGGGTGTTTGGCACTGGCCTGGCCTGCACCCTCCACATGCCAGCACAGCTCCACACGCAGCTGCAACAACCGAGTGTGTCTCCAGACACCATTAAATGTCCACCAGGGGGCGTGCGCCCCAGCTGGGGAAACACTGCTCCTGAAACACGACCAGGATGCCCCCAATCCAGATGAGCGCAGCAGAAATAAGGGCAGCACACACGCGTGTCCTGAATGCTTACCACGGGGTGACACGTTCTACATGTTCTATGTGCATCAAACCGCCCAGTCCTGAGAACAGCCCTCTGACCTGGGTCAGTCGGCACCTCTGTCTACAGAGGAGGCAGACACAGTGAGTGACGTGGGGTGCACAGGACCCAGACACTGAGCAGCGGAGCAGGAGTTCAATGGCACCCACAGGCGCCGCTCTCCACTGTGCCCTCACAGACTTACTCCCAGAGCATCCTTTTCCCTTTCCTACTCACACCAAGCCTCTAAGTCTTTCGTGAGACTCGACCTCACAGCAGGCTGCAGGCTGCTCTGTATAGCCCCTACCACCACACCGGTGCTCCCACTGTCCTGGGAACAATGCCATGCGCCTTTGGGAGCTGTGCAGAGTCTGAGCTGCTGTAGGTTCTGTCCCTGCTCATTCTGAGTAGAGAGAAAGGACTCTTACAGACACACAACTTGCTTCAATCCTGAAGAGGCTTCCCAAGTAGTAATGTAGGAAATGCTCACGACGGTGCCTGACACAGAGTAGGGTAAGTGGAATGTCCAAGTTTACTCTTCTCCCCACTGGGTGCTTTCAGGACAGGAGCTTCACACTGTCTCCTCACACAGCCCAGTGCTCGGCACACACCAAGTTCTCCATAGGTATTTTCTGAGCAAATGAATAAACAAAGCAAAGAACTGCTCCCTTCAAACCTGATGTCAAGCACTTGGTCAATATACTTATAGCTGATCGCTATTCTTAATTATAAGAGAAGTTTTTGATGGTCCACACCTCCCTTCACAAGAAAAAGAGTTCACTTCACATGCGCAATTTACAAAGGACACAGGAAAACAGGCATTACCACATAATACTGACACATCCAAACTCACACAAATGGCGTGCCCTCCAGAAAGAAACAAAAGGCCTTCGAAATGTGTATAAAATTGAACCAACAGTTCATCCTACAATGACCAGCTATGTATACAAAAGAGAGGTCTGAGCATGTTCTCTGATCTTTTTTAATAACACTGAGAATGAAGGTGTGTTTTAGTTTAGTTTTAGTGTGAAATGTGTTTAAGCGGAAGTTTTATGTAGGTGGAATAGAGGAGAACTCTGACAGAATTAGCCTGTGTAGTGTCAGCTACTTGTACTCGACTCCAAAGACCCCGGGCGCATCACAGAGAGTGTGAGTCTGCTGTCGCATAAAGGTGAACGGTCCCGTAAGATTGTGGTAGGAGACCGGTTCCTGCTTGGCCAGCTTCCACACCTGAACTCAGTTTTGATGTCGCAGGATGAGCTCTAGCTGACCTAATGTGACTTGCAGGGGTTTCTGAGGAAAACAGCCCCCACCGTGTCTCCAAAGCCCAAGATGAGGAACGCACTCAGACTGGACTGAAAGAGCCTGAAAGACGGAGGCCGACGGACGAACCCTGCGTGCGTGCCCAGCGGTGTAGCGCTCTGCGACTGCACTGCGGCCTGACTGTGGGGCTGACAGGGCACCTGCAGGCGAGGCGGCCCCCAGCACACGCCACTTCAGACTGGATGTGGAGGGACCAGAGGCGAGTTACGTTTTCAGACATCTACAACTTGGAGTAGGTCCATTTCTCTGGGAAATGTGGCCCCGTGCTTTGCCATTATCTTGTCTGCTCTGCCCCAGCCCTGATTCTTTTTTTTAAAGTTTTATTTACTGATTTTGAGAGAGAAAGGAAGGGGGAGAGAGAGGAACATCAATTTGTTGTTCTACTTATTTATGCATTCATTAGCTGACTCCCGTATATGCTCCGACTAGGGATCGAACCTGCAACTTCCGGTGTAGCTCTAACCAACGGGGCCACCTGGCAAGGGCTGCCCCGATTCTTTAGATGAGTAAACTATCGCATTTACTCACTTGGTCTCACTGCCTGGTCTTTCTGTGAATGATCCATACCTATTACTATCCTCTGTCACTAACACAGCCATACAGCCCTCTATTCCACTCACTAACCATGGTAATGTAACAGGCAATGCTTTGCAGAGTGCTTTGAAAACCTGGGGGGATGATAAGCTCCCTGGAGGTAGGAATGCAGAGCAAGGCCTTCTAGTCCATCCCAGTTGGTGGCCTCATCTGCCTACCACCCTGGAGAACTGCCCTGAACAACAAAAGATCAAATGCCGGCCCCTGAGCACAGCCCCGGGTGCACGAAGGCCTGCTGGGTACTCCGTTTCCACGCCACCCCGTCCGTACCTCTGGTAGGATGAACTGCTCCACAGGCTTGTACCACAGCCTATTCACCTGCACACCGCAGCTTGGAGGACTAAAGCGAGCGATGAAGAGGGCCTCCTGCAGGTGGGGGGAAACAAGAAGAAATAGTTCATGTTGGACGCCGCAGACTCAGCAAGTCTTCAAATACCTTCAGTCTCACTGGCCCCACTGTGGTTACTAACATTGGTCTATCATGGTTCAGGTGTCACTTGGGTTTTCTAGTATAATTGTGGTTTAAATAAAGATATTTCAAATAACCAAAATTGTCAAGTTCTAAAACACAACAAATAATCCATATAATCTTAAAAAACATCTAGAAATGAGGAGCATTAGGGGATGTGTGAGCTATTGTTAAATTAAGCCAACTTATTAGGTTTAACCCCAAAGGGTTAAGAATGACAGAAATAACACAGATTTCTACATGGAATGAAGATACTCAGGAATCGCCTTCAAAAAGAACCTTAAAAGGAAAACAAAAGCGCAAACAAAAAGGGAATATAAAAGAGCACTGCTTCTCGAGTCTGCTGTTTTCTTAGGCCCCTCCCAGTTTGTTTTAGGCAAGCTCACTTGCCTCTTACGCCTATTCCTACACGCCGATCTGCCACAGGGGAGCACCCATTACAGCTATCCAGTCTGCGTGGAAGTTCACAGTCAAGGGGGTGTCAAGTGGATTATGTGTATTTCTTTCATTAACAGTTCTTGGCAATGTGCTAGAGACACTTTTTGCACTGTGGTTCCCTGTGAATCCATTAGCATCCACTTTCAACTAGTCCTTCTTTGAGGACCTTTGGCCAATTTCTCCTTGGCTAAAAATATGGCTACTGTAAGTTAAATCAATACGGTCAACATATTTTAAGTCTGAACCAAACAATTGGATGATAAACATTATGAGTAGTTAGAAAACATACTGCATGTATTAAAACAGTTAAGTGTATGAAAAACACTCAAGATAAATCCTAATTTCTAGATAAGCATATCAGTGAAATTCAGAGTATTGCTATTTCAGTTACCTACATGAATTTCAGTATCAGTGAAACTTTTAACCACAGTAATAGACAAACTGCTATACTTTAACAGCTTAAAAAATTTCTTCTCACTGGAATCATAATGGCTGCAATCACGAGGAGTTATTCTCTCTTATATTTACGTCATTAAGCACATTTGCAAACTAAGCAGAAATAGGACAAATAGCAAAAGAGAAATTTAATCTTAAAATTGATTTGTATAGTTATTGGTGACTAATATTGTATCTGTTAGTAACAATTAACATTAGCAATAATATAAAAAGTTTTTAAAATGCCTAAAAAACCCTGAACAGAGTTCTGCTCCCAGTGACATCAGACCAGTTCTACAGATAACAACGCTGAACTCGGGACGAGAGATTTCAAAATTAACCCGCGGGCCCTGGAATGTGAAACAAAGCCGCAGAAACTAGAGGACAGTCAATCCTGGGCAGCAGAGAAAGGCAGTGGGTATGAGCCCCCCACTTTTTATGGTGATTTGTCTAAAGGTACATCTGGAGAGGCAACTAGAAATTTGAACTAAAAACCACCAGTCTTTCTGGCTGCAAAATCAGAGAAAAAAGTAGAGGCAAACAGTCCTGGCTGGTGTAGCTCAGTAAGTTGATTGCTAGCCTGCGAACACAAAGGTTTAATTTCCAGTCAGAGCACATGCCTGGTTTGGTGGCCAGGTCCCCGGTGGGGGGGCTTGTGAGAGGCAACAAATCAATATACTGGTATCTCTTACACGTCAATGTTTCTGTCCCTCTCTTTCTCCCTCCCTTACCCTCTCTCTAAAAAAGTAAATAAAATCTTTTTTAAAATTGGGGCAAACATATCAGCAAAAAAGTGAGAAGAACCATCCCAGAAAGAAAAGGGTCACAGAGAGCAAGTCTGAAATTCTCCATATAAATTCTGCCCAAATCTGTGGCTGACTCATGAAATACAAATTCAAAACAGCACTCAAGCAGCCCATATTAGTCCAAAAACATGAACAGAGATTTCAGCTGTGGTCCATTGCAAGGGAGACCGTTTAGAGTCTGCATCCAGCTAATTTAATTGCCTGCTAAAATAATACTCCCCTAAAAATCAATACTTTTTAAGGACTACAGTAGGGTCCAGAGATCCTACAATGAATTATTCACAATATCTAGGATACGATCCAAAGTTACTCAATATAAAAGGGAAAAAATGTCATCCATATTCCAAGAGCAAAGATGATAATAAATAGAGACCCTAAGATGACTTCAATATCAGAACAAGTAGCCAGAATTTTAAAGCCATTATTGTAACTAAGGTCAAGGCTACAGGAAAAAACATGCTCAAAATGAATGAACACAGGAAGTTTTAGAGAAATAAAAACTACAAAAAAGTATTAAATGGAAATTCTAGAACTTAAAAAAAACAATATGTAAAATTAAAAATTCAGCCCTGACTGGGTAGTCGAGTGGACTGGGTGTCATCCTGAAAACCAAAAGGTATAATAGGTTTGATTCCTGACCAGGGCACACGCCTGGGTTGTGGGCCGGGTCCCTGCTTGGGAGGGTGTGAGAGGCAACCAACCAGTGTTCCTCTCCCTCTCTCCATCCCTTCCCCTCTCTCTAAAAATAAATAAATAAAATCTTTAAAAAAATTCATTGGTTAAGCTTAATAGATTTGAGATGATAGAATAGTAGTGAATCTGATAACAGAAATTACAAAACCTGAAAAACAGAGAATGAAACACTGAAGAACAGTTTTGTGACTGGCGGGACACCACCAAAAGGTCAACACACATGAAACTGGAATCCCAGAATGAGCGAAGAGAATGGGGCTAGGAAAGTTTTTTAAAGAAATAATGGCTGAAAGTTTCCCGGATTTGGTGAAAGGCATAAATGTACACATTGAAGAAGTGTGGCATACCCTGAGCAGAATAAAGAAAAACCATACCAAGGTACAACATAACCAAATTGCTTACAACTAAATATAAAGAGAAAATCTTATCAGTGGCCAGGAAAACCAGAGCAAAACACCGCATGGCATATACCACCCAGAAAAACACCACGGAGGACGGCTGACTTCTCAGCTCAAAACAACGGAGGCCAGAAAACACTGGAGTGACATCTTAAATCTATAAAAGGCAAAAAACTCAACCCAGGAATTTTTATATCCAGATGGTATTGCACAAGAATGAAGAGGGGGGCAGGAAAGAAATGCAAAATTAAAGGAAAAAAACACTTTCAGAAAGATGAAAACTAAGTGAATTCCTTCCAGTACACACGCTCTATAAGAGGCTAAAGGCTGTCCTTGGGCTGAGGGAGCCGATATAAGATGGAAACATGGATAGATATTCAGAAAGGAATAAAATGGTAAAATGTGGGCAAATATAAACGACCATTTTTGGTCTATATTACTTTAATATACATTTAGCTATTTAAAGCAAAAATTTTAACACTGTATTATGGGATTTATAGTATACACAGATGTACCGCACATAACAACCAGAGCGAAGATGATGGGGGGTGGTAAATGGAATTACATAGTTGCCAGGTTCTTACAGTTTACACAAGGGCTACAGCATTAACCTTAAGAAGACTGGAAATTTCAGGATTTATATTCTAATCCTTGTGGTAACCATACACACAAACAGTAATAGGGCAAAGAACTTTAGCTAAAAGGAAACAAAGCTATTAGATGGAATCTAAAAAACATTCAATTCATCCAAAAGAAGGCTGGAAAAGAGGAACAGAGAAACAAAAAAATGCGCAACATACAGAAAATAGCAGAACGAAAAGCTGAAATCCAAACACTTTCATTATAGGATTAAACACGAACAGAATAAACCCCCCACAAGAAAAGCAGAGGTTCTCAGATGGAATAAACAGGAAGACCCACGACATGCTGCCCGCAGAAACACGTCTGCCAGCAGTCCATAGAAAGAATACAGCAGGGCCGAGAGGGGCAGCAGGTTGGTTAACGATCCCAAGTCAACAAACATGATTCATCACAATAACCGAACAATGGAGAAAATCCTGGAAGCCTTCCAGGTATCCATCCACAGGAGAAGGGGTAAACACCGCACACTGCTGAAATACAACTGAGCGATTGAAAGGGAAAAGAAAAATTCACCGCAACAACACGGATGGGTCTCAAACATTACGCGGAGTGAAAGAAGCCTTATGTGGAGCGTACTCATGACACGATTTTATTTGCGTATGAAGTCCCACAACAGGCAAACGCTGGTCTGTGGTTTCAAAGAAGAGAGAACAGGGGCAGCCTCTAGTGAATGGGGTGGGGTGACAGAAGTTTGTGTCATACAGATTCCTGTGGTTTAAAAATGTGACTGAATGCACATCTCACTGTATCTAAAATTTTAAAAACCACAAACACTAAAGTCTAGTTCATGATATGCAGGCTGCAGTGTTTAGGGTCGAAGTGCACTGATACCTGTAAGTTACTCTGACTTACATTTTTAGAAAAGGTCAGACTGATGAATGACTATGTATAAAACAAAAGCTCACTACTGCAGAATATAGCTGATGGACATATGGGTGTTTACTGTACAATTCTTTCTAAGAGAATTTCTATAGGATTTCTATAGGCGGAAACCCAGGAACAGGTCTTTTCAAACACCATTTCTTCCTACACTCCTTCAGATGTGCTCTGTGAGCAAATGGGATTCCCCGACTCTCAGGAGCCGTGACCCAGTGGTTTTCAACTTTCCTTCCCTCTACAACTAACTTTATTACATAAAGGATCCACAGCAGCTGTCAGCCTTGCATTCTCGTGACGACTTTTCGGGTTGCAGGAGAGACAATAGTCCTTATACTTAACATTCCCACACTTTCTATGTCCATTTTCAACTTTTGGAATCCCTTAGATATGAAGGAATTTTAGGTTGGAAACGTCTCTCCATTTCTTTTTTTTTTTAATCCTTACCCAAGGACATTTTTTCTCCCCTCATTGTGAAACATCAATGCGAGACAGAAGCATTAATTGGCTGCCTCCCATATGTGCCCAGACTGGGGACTGAACCTGCATTCTAGCTATGTGCCCTGGCCAGGACACATGTGCTTTGACATATACTATTTGACAATACTATTAATCAAAACTTTTACACATCCAGAGTGTCATGATTACTGTTCATAATGACCTTGAGGTATTTAAATAAAGCTGACTGCCAACTGAATCATCAAAATGATGTTAGGCATTACATATATGGAAGGCCTTTTGGTTACAAGATGATGCTCCAACCAACTGACCCACACCAGCCAGAGCTTGTTTTCTAGAAGAACACGTTTATTCATTGGTATTCTCTTCTTGAACCAGCATTCTCATACAGGGTGTGGCAAAAGTAGGTATATAGTTGTTCATATGGAAAATACACTAATTGACAAATAATGCAGAACACACTCTGTGTTCTGTGTACTCACAACTGTACACCTCCTTTTGTTCCACCTTATCTGTTACACTACAAGGTGCCTGGTTGGAAGGGAAGAAAGGTGGAGTCTCCCAGCTATGATACGCCACGAGGAAAAAGCTGGTGTTTCTGAAAAAGAAAAACTGGGAAACCCTTGTACAAAGCAGTGCATACCTCCTGTTCTGCCTGATAAAGCTTGACAGTGATGTTCCTTTGGAAACCCGCATCGCTGGCATCATAAAACACCCCGAGACTGGTAATAACAATTGGGTGGAGAACTCGAAAGCTCACGCTGACAACTCGGTCCTCAGAGAGCCCCGATGAAGTGTCCTCAGAAAAACCGAATGCCTCGATTTCCTGATTCAAAACTAAGAAAGTAATAAATAAAAAGGAGATTTATATAATCAAATAATATAAAGTAATGAAGTCAACCTGACAGGAAAATCTAGATTATTATTTGTTATGTAATTCTTTCCTAAATGGCAATAATTTTTTAAATGCTTTAGAAATATGGTTACTTTTAGGAAAAAAACAAATTTATTCTGAAATTTAAGAACAAAGTGTTTAGCTATATCTAAATAAAATATTTAATTTATCTAATTATCAGAGCTATTTTAATAGATTTTTGCATACATATGTGTACATACGTATCTATAAACACCACTGGAAAATATTAAATTCAAAGGTATCAACTAGGAAAGGTTGGCTACATGAAATATTAAAAAATAATACTGATTACAGTCATAAATAATGAATAAATTGTCTTGCTCTGCAAAGTCCAAAAAACCTATTTCTTGGGCAATTTAAAGTATTTGTAATATCAGGCAATTATTACAGAGAAAAAAGGAACTGAGATAAGTTCAAATAACACTGAAAACCTCTGGCCATACAACACTAATGAAACAGAAGCACATCAAACACAGTGCACATTATTTACAAATAGGTTATTGTCAGTCAATATACTCGGTACTAATAAGGATTGCATTTTCTCATTTTCAGATAAATAAAAATTGTTTTCTTCCCACCCCCCATGGATCATTTGGATTCCTTCCTTAGAATTCCTAGAGTGCTAGTTTACACTTAGTAGATGCTCAATAAAATGTGACAGAGTGGAACCGATGGCTCCTACCCAGTTACACACAAACAGGAGGGGATGGGGGAAGATGCAGAATTTGTCCAGGGCTGGGCAAGCACTGGCCAGAGTTTGGACTCTAAATATACTGAAGGGCAATGAGAGCTTTTCTCTTTAATATAGCCAGTGCATAAAAGATATCTCAAGTAGAAGCACATGTATTATAGGAAATAGGTTAAGTGCATTATAACATAAATACATATTTTTCTACCTAAAACAATGTACCTTAAAATTCAAGTTACCTGGACACAGGAAACCCTGCTGCTTTGACAATACTATTAATCAAAACTTCTACACATCCAGAGTATCATGATTACTGTCCATAATGACCTTGAGGTACTGAAAGAAAACTAACTACCATCTGAATCATCAAAATGATGTTAAGTATTTCATTAATGGAAATTTTCCATTAATGAAAATCTCCGCTCTTTTACTATTAAAAATAGTAATGTACTTTAATGAAAGTGGTTAATTTAAAAGTGAGGTTTTCTAAAATTTGGTTTGGTTTTGGAGTTCAAATATAATTTGTTCGAGGCTACTATTACACCACCAGTCACACAGCCTTCTGTCAGCTTCGTGACCCTTTGGGACTCCAGTGAAACTTAAAGGACATTCTCCCCAGAAAAACACAATTATGTACACAGTTTTGCATACAAAGTCATCTAAATTCAGATACCCCATGTAAGAAACCTCTGCTGTACAATACAGACCTGAAAATATGGCCCATTTCATTTAACAAACTGAATTAAGCCCAACTTTATAAAAAGGTAAGTTCTTTATAATAACAATATTTAAGTACCTAATATCTAGGAACGTGTCTAAATGCAGGGTGAGGTAAAAGCAGGTTTACAGTTGTTAGTATGGAAAATAATGTAATAACATTTTTTAAACTGATCTTAGAGAGAGAGAGAGAAAGGGAGGGAGGGAGGGGGAGAGAGAAAGAAACATTGACTTGTTGTTCCACTTATTCATGGCGTTCAGTGGTTGATTCTTATATGTGCCCTGACCAGGATTGAACCTGCAACCTTGGCGTATTGGGAAAACACTCTAACTGAGCTAGCCAACCGGGGCGACAATAATAGATGATACAAGAATGAACTCTGTATTTCATGCACTCACATGAAATGTAAACCTGCTTTTGCCCCACCCTGCATTTTACATGCATCAAACTTATTTCATCCGTGCGTCGATCCCCGAGGTAAGTACTCATCCTCAGTTGAGACAATGAAACTAAGGCACAGAGGGGCAAATAACCCCCCTCCTACCAACTACATAAGCCCGCAGAAAAAAAGGACTAATCTCCTTTGGCTCTTTTGCCACACGAGGGGCCCCTTGCCACCACTTTTTTGGCCACCTGGTCTCTGGCCACCCTTCCTTTTGCTTTTCCATTAGAACTTAGCACTAAAAAACGTTGCTCATAGGACAGCAGGCTTGCTGAACTATATAATTCTTTACTGCATTGGCGAGAAGAACTGAGTTTCTCCCGTGACCGAACCACACCTGAACGTAATGGGAAACGCTAGTCAACCAAGAGAGGCAGTTACAGATTTACCCACTTCCTAAAATGGGTTCCCTAGTAACACACAGAACCCCCTTAGCACCGCCTTTCTTCATTCCCATCAGAACTTGCACAAGTTTTTAACTGTAAGAAATAAAAAAGTACAGTTGTGTTTTTAATTTTTTACTTTGCTTCTTTTGTAGAAGCTTAGGCAATAATTCCACGAGAGAGTGGATTCACAACATTCACTGAGGCCATTGTAAATCAACAGGCTGGTGGAATCAGCAGGCTTCTAGAAGTTCAAAATTCAGTAACTGAGGATTTATCTCTATATGAGAAATTTCCAGATATGCTCAAATCACTGAAAAAATAATCCCTTCTGGACCCTGAAATTACATATATCTATAAAGAATTTTCACAGACATCCAGAGTGATCAGTCAAGCTGTTAAAATGATGAAGGATAAATTCTGAGGGAAGCTCCATGTTCATCTGCTAAAAACAGACACCATACTATTCAGTTCAGCACTCTTTTCTCCAACATGAAACCTGCAGACGGTGGTCACAGGCCGGGGGGAGGAGACTCACCTGGGTTCGTGATGTTGAGCAGTCTGCAGGAGTACGGGTCTTCCCGGTCCTCCACAGGCACGTCACAGCCACGAGCACCTATTATGAACTTCACGAGCACACTGAGAGAGGTGCGGCATTAACAGCGGTTACTGATCCACCCGATACCTGCACGTTTTCTCACGCCCACTTCAGAGCTTTTACTTTAAGACACAGTACTTACTAGCATTAATTCTAACCTCACTCTTCTATTCTTGCAAAAAGAGGGAATGAGCAAATTCAAAGCTGCTAACCACCAAGTGACTTACGCGTGAGCCCTCCGTTGCAGTCCTGCATGTAGCAAATGTGAACGCGTTTAGCCTGGCTGCCAGCAAACGCTTACACCACTAAGAAGCAAACTACAGGAAAGTCAACATCTCCTGACCACAGCTGAAAACCTGTCTCTCTCTGCAGTCTTCTCTACTTGCTGTCTTCGATTTCAGAAGTTGTTCCTTTTGCTCAAGATGAGTCTTCCTCCCCGAGAGGCTGTCCTCTCCTCCCCTGGACCTCAACCTCACCAGTTCCCTGGAACCCATGGCTCCTTCCCTGCACTTTATGAAAATTGTGAAGTACTGACATCAATTTCTATTTACTTACTGTCCTTCCTTGTCCCCACCCATTCCTTTACAGTGAAATGCTACAAAGGAATTAACTAAACTTGCAGCCTCTAGTTCCTCATTCCCTACTCATTTCATAAAACAGAAATTTTAGCTTCAATATACACCATTTCCTCTGAGACATCTACCACCAGCATAGCCACTGACCTGCTACTAAACCAGCAGACCCTGGCTCCGCAGTGCTCAGCCTCCTTACGATGCTGTTTTCCCTTCTTTATGGGGCCTGCTCAGGTGGCACCACTGGTTCTTCTCCCAGCTGGTCCATTAAGAGTAGACAGGACCCCAGGGCTTTACTCTGAAATCACTTTTCACTTGTTCTCTGTGGACAGTATTAATTCCCAAGGCTTTGACTAGCCTGGATATGATCCTTGAGTCAGCACCTCTCATTCGGGCCCATCGTCTAAGGAAAAAACCCATCAGCTCATTGGTCGTCTTCACCTAGATGGTCCACAGAGAGCTGCGTGCTAGAGCCTGCTCCTACTGGCCTGTGAGAGCAAACTGCTGAATTTTCAAGAATTCTGCGAGCTGGTGATTTATTTATTTATTTATTTATTTATTTATTTATTTATTTATTGAGTTGGTTATTAGGCACAGCCTTTATTAAAAGTTAAATTACATAAACTTGCAATACATTATTAATAACAAAGGAAACAAATATTCAAATCGATCATGTCTTAATCATTTTGCTATTATCTCTGCTCTTGAAGTTATTTATGCCCATGAGACCCGTATGGAGGAAATATTATAGCAGCATGCTCCTGACTATCTTCCCAAACTCTGTTCAGAGATGTGCATTGGATGCTTGACACTGGCCATGTGGGAATGTTCACACCTGGGAAACCAGCAAATGCCACTGAACAGGGTTCGATTTATTGTTTCGTTGACTGTCTAGATTTAAAGTGATAGAGGAGATGTTAGTAATGCAGATTAAACTCAAAATGCAATGTGACTGCCGCTGTTCCGTTGTGAACAGTACGAAACACTGAGGAACTACTCTGCTGATTCAGCAGTGTCGTCACTCACTTCATGGACTACGAGTAAAGCTGTCACTTTAGTCTTACTTTTCAATGGAAACATTTGTGTCGGAACTACACTCCTGTCAGCTGCAACCATAAGCTGGTTACAGACACAAAAGCCTAGCAGGCAATAAAAGCTTCTATGAGAATCATAGAAGTTGGCCATGTGGACTTCACAGTAGAGAGCACTGTACGCGTGTTCTGTCCATTATGTGCTGCACATTCCGTGTACCGACAAAGCTGGTAATAAGCAGCACATACATGTGAACATACTTCTGATGATAAATGTCCATCAGCACGCCACTCTCTGCAGGTGCCTCGAACACCACGTATCCATAACTGAGACCCTTCCCGTGAACCTGCTCCTTTCATCTAGCATTTCTGGTCTTGACTGGTGACTTCACTACTCTCCAAGGCAGAAAGCTAGCCATTATCTCAGACGCCTCCTCCTCTTTCCACGCCTCATGACCTTATTTTCTCATAACGTCACCACTCAGTTCAGCCGCTCAGCAGTTCATGATCTGACACAGCCCACCTCTCACAGTTACGCCCCTTCCTCCTCCTCTCTTTCTACCTCTGTCTCTCTGCCCGCCTCCTTTCCCTAGCACTCCATCACCCACTCATTCACAAATGCCCGCAGCCCTTCCCCGTAATCCCCGGGCTCCAATTACACAGACCTGTCGGGAGTCTCCCAAACTCTCCCGGCTATTTTATACCTACGTATATCACAACACATATAACACTTAATTACATTTGTAAATCTATTTCCTTCTAAACAAGCTCCCATAAAGGCTCAGGCTACACTGTATCTATCTTTGTAATGTACCACACATTGTTTGCTACCTTATACAAAAGACACTATTAAATACTTGTGAAACTGACAACTTATGGTTTTATTACAAAGGGTTTCAATTAAATAAGGTCCTTGAAATATGTGCTGAGTCTGGCTCCCTCAGCAAAATCCAAGTTTTGGAAGTAAACCATAACCACAGAAATGCAAACACTTCTACTAAGGGCCAATTAAGGTAGAGCACCTTTCACAAACAAACAGTATTTAGAAATGAATAAATTTGCTAATTAAATTATTGCAGATATTTACCAAATTTGTTTTTTCAAGCCATCTTAAATACTCTTACTAGACCCACAAAATTACTCTGCCCTGGGAAGTTATTTTTGGCTAATACCTATTTTTATATAGATATCTCATCATTTTCATGAACAAATTACCAAACTTACTAAATTTAAAGCAAGAATGCTCCAATGGCAAATAAATTGCTGGTGAGCATCTGAGTGTTAACTGCATTCATCACAGCTAGTTCTGAGTCAGTCCCCCAGGATTTGGTGAGTGCCTTACTTTGTGCCGAGTCAGGTTCGAAGTCCTGGGAACCTATTGGTGGAAAAAGCTGGCGCCCCTTTTGTGCTCACAAAAGCTATGTGCTAGTGGGGAAGTACATTTATAAATATTCAACTAAATATAGTGCACATGCTGATTGGTGGTAAGTACTGAATGTTACTGTGAAGAAAAATACAGCCAAGTAAGGGAAACTAGAGATGGAAGAGGGGTGGGGTGCTCTGTAATGCGGGCATCTGGTAAGATGACATCTAAGCAGAGGCCTGAAGAAAGAGAGCCATGAGCCTACCCGGTGGGAAAGTGGGATGGGCAAGGGGAAGAGCAAATGCAAAGGCCCCGAGGAAGGAAAACTGAGGTGCCCTGAAGCACAGCCAGGTGGCCAGCGAAGGGGAAGTAGATGTAGATAAGGTCAAAGACCACAATAAAGACTTGATCTTTCATTCTGAGCAAGAAAAGAAGTCAATGGAGGGGAATAAGTAGAGAACTGATGTGATGTTTTGAAAGGGTCAGTCTGGCTGCTTATTATTAAATAAATATAAAGGAACAAAGGTAGAGGCAGAAAATTCAGCCAAGGAGGCCTTTGCAAAAACCCAGGTGAGAGGTACGAGCCTAGGCCAGGACAGTGGCTCTCACCCAGCAGTTAAGGGTCTGAGAGCAGCACCAAGCAGATAGGCTGACCCTTGAACAACACGGGTTTAGGATCCGTGATCCCAGTGTGGTCAAAAATCCATAAATAACTTTTTTAAAAATAATTAACTTTATTTAGTTATTTTTCAAGTACAGTTTTTTGTCTATTTTTCCCATCCCAGCCTCCCCCGCCCCTTGCTCCCCACCTCCTTCCCATTTCCACCCCCCTTAGTTCTCATCCCTGTGTCCTTCCTATTTGTTCCTCCAAATCCCTCCCCCTTTTCCCCCCTTAACTTCCCTTCCTTCTCCCCTCTGGTCACTATCCCCTTGTTCTCTATTTCAGTGTCTTTGTTTTTTTTTCTGCTTGCTTGTTTGTTTTGTTGTTTAGCTTCCTGTTAAAGGTGAGATCATATGGTATTTGTCTTTCAGCACCTGGCCTATTTCACTCAGCATAATGCTTTCCAGTTCCATCCATGTTGTTGCAAAAGGTAGTAGCTCCTTCTTTCTCTCTGAAGCATAGAATTCCATTGTGTATATGTACCACAATTTTTTGATCCATTCATTTACTGATGGGCACCTAGGTTGCTTCCAACTCTTGGCTATTGTAAATTGTGCTGCTATGAACATTGTGGTGCATAGGTTCTTTGATATTGATGTTTTAGGATTCTTAGGATATAATCCCAGCAGTGGAATTGCTGGGTCAAAAGGCAGGTCGATTCTTATTTTTCTGAGAAAATTCCATACTGTTTTCCATAATGGTTGTACCAGTCTGCAATCCCACCAACAGTGAACTATGGACCCCTTTTCCCCACAACCTCTCCAACATTTGTTGTTTGTTGCTTTGTTTATGATAGCCATCCTGACTGGTGTAAAGTGGTATCTCATTGTGGTTTTAATAAAAATCCATAAATAACTTTTGACTCCCCCAAACTTAACTACTGATAGCCTGCTGTTGACGGGAGGCTTCATCAATAACACCAACAGGTGATTAACATATTTTGTATGTTACATGTATTATAAACAGCATTCTTACAACAAAGGCAACTAGAGAAAAAATGTTAAAAATCATAAGGAAAATACATTTACGGTACTCACTGAAAAAAATTCATGTATGAGTGGAAGTGTGCAGTTCTGACCCCTGTTGTTCAAGGGTCAACCATGTACCCCACCATGGAACCCAGCAAAGGCCTTAGCCACAGGTCCTTACTCTCTCTCGGCACCCCCACCTGTCGGGCTGAGCCCAGTCCCCAGATACTTCTCTCCTATGGGCCCCTGCATGGCCTGTGTGCCTCCCTTTCCAGGACCTGAGTATCATAAATCTGTTCGTTTAATATGCCTCTCCTAGACATAATGTAATTTCTGCAGACATGCTGGACTGATCCCTAAAGATCTCACAAGGGGAAATTACGGCCCCATTTACAAGACAGACAGCAAGGCTTTTGGTCTGAGCAACTGGCAGAGTGGGGCCATTATTTTCTGAGATGGCAAAGACTGTATCGCGCAGGTGGCAGACACAAGGCCTGTGGGCTGAATCCGGCCCTCCCCCTGGTTTTATCCAGCCCGGCACCTTGTACCTGGTGGCAGCACCGAGTTCCTTGCCCCTAGTAAAGGAGTAGTTACATTTATACAGTCCTCAAATTATATACGGCCCTTGAAGGCAACCATGAGGCTGTTGCAGCCCCCGGTTAAAATGAGTCTGACACCCACGCTGTACAGGAAGAGCAAGTTTTGGAGCTGGTTCTGATAGTGGTGGTGATTCTGAGCCCTTCATTTGATGGGAATAGGTTCTATTATCACTGTGATCATGAACTAAAGAAATCTGTCTTGAAAAGGAATGAAAACTGCTATCAACAACATAAGCAATCTATAAATGCTCACTGCTAGTGACAAGAAAATTCACAACTGCAATGCACTTGTATAGCCACTCAGTCTTCGGTGTGACGACATAATGCACTCCTGAGAAGCCCTCCTCTGCTGACCCCCCCTTCACAGAACCGGAAGTGCAGCCTCCCAGGCTTCTCTCCCACTAACACCTCCTCTCTTAACCTTCAGAGATTGGTCTCCCTGGGAATCCAAGGCATCGGGCTCCCAACCCAGCACCAAGCCACCTGATGTCCACCTGAGATGTTCCACCAGAGCTCTGCCCTGGAAGGGCAGTCAGGAAGAAAAGTGTGGTGGACTGCACACACTGCAGATCGCTCACCCAGTAAGTACTGCAGAACTGAAAGAATTAAGTGTATTGCTGTGAAGCTGGTGAAAACTATATTTCAATATAAATGGATCTAGGCAGAGAACTATTCTGGAATAGAATCTTTTAAGAATTGCTATTCTATTTATTTTATTCTTTTATTTTTTTAAGATTTTATGTATTTATCTTCAGAGGGGAAGGGAAGGAGAGAGGGAGAGAAACATCATTGTGTGGATGCTTCTCACATGTCCCCTGCTGGGAACTGGCCTGCAACCCAGGCATGTGCCCTGACTGGGAATTGAACCGCGGTCCTCAGGGTCGCAGGCCTGCACTCAATCCACTGAGCTACACCAGCCAGGGCTAAGACTTGCTATTCTAAACCAAAGCAAAACCAAAACACCCTGAAACTAGGGATCTATAAAAAGTAGGTATGTTGCCCTAGCTGGTGTAGTTCAGTGGACTGAGCACAGACCCATGAAGCAAAGGGTCACCGGTTCAATTCCCAGTCAGGGCACATGCCTGGGTTGCAGGCCAGGTCCCCAGTAGGGGACACATGAGAGGCAACCACACACTGATGTTTCTCTCCCATTCTTTCTCCTTCCCTTCCCCTCTCTCTAAAAAGATATGAAATATATTTTTTAAAGTAGGTATGTTAACCAATGACTATATTCTCTCCCAAATATCTTTAGGCTTAAAACTGGTTAAATTTACTTTGCAACGCTACTATAAAGAGGAAAAACAAAACAAAATAGCCATTTCTCCCAGAAAAAGAGGCTACAAGTCTCAATTAACACTCAACTATCCAAGAAGAGGTTTTACAGAACTAACCCCCTCCTTTTTATTGTTTTTACAGCACTCTTATTCAGTAAATCAGGTGAGGTGCCAATTCAGAAAACCTACCGTCGACTCAGTGTGGGATGTTGCATTAAGTGTTTCAGCCAGGTGCTTCTTATCACATTTCGAAGTTCATGGTTATTGCGGGCTGACAACACACCAACTACCACATCATAGTGACTTGATTTCCAGCGAGGAAACAGGGCCAAGTGATCTAGAGATAAGGAACAATAAATTAGAAATGTCATGTCTCAATTACTAAGTTCAATATACAACATAAAAATGTTTATTACAAAACAATCTATGTTCATGTTTGTAGAAAATACAAATAAATACAAAAAGAGGTAACACCTTGGTGTGTTCCACACATACTTACGTACTCGTGCTTACATGAGTATATAAATTCTTCAAAACAAACAGGACGGTTACAACAAGAATTGGTTTGGAAAGCTGTGCGGCATGAACTACAGAACAGTGCGCAGTAAAGGTCACCGAGGCCATGGTCAGAATCCTGGCTCTTTTTTATCACATATAAAAGTTAGTGAATATCTTGAACCTCTGCTTCCTTAACTGTGAATGGGCATAATAGTACTTCTCATGGAGTTGTAAATTAAATGAGATTATGTGTATAAAGTTTCTGGTTTGGTACCAGGCAAGGAGCAGGCATTCAATGGCAACTATCAACAACAAAAATGTCCTTTTGAAGGCGAAGTCCTGCCTTCATACTAGTTATGAGGTTTGGGAGATGAAGCTGAATGACTCCCATGTCAGAAAGTAGCAGAACCCTTATTAATGCCAGTAAATTCCACAGCCAGCAAACCTTTTATCACCTTCTAAATATTCTAAAGAGTAAAGGAGGGGAAGTAAGATTTCTAATTAAAACAAAATCAGGTGACAAGTTGAATGGCTCAGTTTTTACTGTCATAAGGTCTAATGGGCAGGATTATATTTTAAAAATGTATCCTTAGAAAGAAGTCAGAAAGGAAATATATTTTGTCCCTGTTTTTTTTATCACCAGTTTCAAAGCTTGAGAGCTACAAGCTTATAAATAGCTCTGATGAGGGATCCATTTCATTTCTTTCTCCAATGGTGGGAATTGATCCAAAATGTTTCCAAAAATAAATTACTGAGGGCCAGAGATCTTTACTACATTAAATGCAATGTTTTTATATGCCACAGGATCTAGGTATTTGGTGAAAAGACAACAAAAACATCATTTTTTCCCCAAAGAATTTAGTAAAATAATAAAAATAACATTTGGGGACAGATTATTCTAATACCATGATTTAAGGACATTACATTGTAACACTTCTAGGAATACAGGAATTTTTGTGTAAATACCTTATTTTCCAGAAAAGCTAATGCTTCTCAAAAGGTACTTTAATTCTAAATGGATTAGAGATACTTATCTCCCCCTACCATGAATCTTGCACTAAAACAAATTCTTCAATAAAGGCACAATTTATTTTGAAGGTAAACCCAAATTTTCATGAATTCAGCTCACTTATTAACAGGCCATATTTACGGAACACCTACCGTGTACTAAGTATTATGTATAGAGTACGATTTTAATGCTTTGCATGTAGAGTATCATTTAAGGGTCACAATCCTATGAGGTAGGTAAGTTAGGCTCCTTGTTAGACATATGATGAAAGAGACACAGAATTCAGTAACTTCCCCTTAGTCCAACAGCTAGTAAATGGCTACACTATGATTTAATCCTGCCAATCTAATTGCATTCTTCATCACTATTCTACTCCATAGCTATGAAGCTTAATATGGCTTATCTGAGTCTAAATTCTGACCTTCTACCCATGACACCAGTTCAAGTGATGAATTTGTGGTAAGTGAATCACTGAAAATGCTAGTTAGCAACTTCAATTTTTAAAAAATTAATGGTCTCAGGACATTTTTTTCCCTCAGATATACCTATACAATGAAAGCTGTACCTACTGCTGGAACTAACTCTAAATGAGGGTGAATTTGAAGGTAACTTAAATGCTCATGCAATATTTGTAATGCGACCCCACTTTCTCATAGGGAACTATTAATGGGAAGTGCATATCTGCGACAGGAGTGAGGCACATGTAGGGACCAGACATATCCGACACTAATTCCACAGTCAGCATGCTGCACAGACGGGATGGCAAAGATGTTATTTAACTTCCTCGTGCCTCAGTTTCCTAACCAGAGAAAGCGGACACCAAACAGATGTCTTCAGATACTCCACTTCATCTATTTCAAAAGGCCTTCTCAAAAGATTAAGAAGAGCAAAGGTCTATTTAACCTAAATACCTTATTGATCTGACCCCAGGAAACAACATCGCTGCACACAAGTGAAATTCCAAAATAAGTGAAACATCCTTTGAAATGCCAAACATCATTACCTTGTTTAGGTGGATAATCAAAATAAATCTTTTAAAAATGGGCTACACAGAACATAATACAGCCCTTTCTTGATGACAAAATCCTTGTGAACAATTTCTGCAAGAACAATTTCTCAAGTGTATCTCTGTCTCGTCATTCACTCCAGCCTCTACTTCTCCCTGATTTCTCATATGACTCCACATCACACAAGAGCTCTCTAAAAATAAATCAGTAACTAACTAAACATGGAGATAGCCGTGTGGCATGAAAAAATCCTAAGGATTATGGTTGTAAACTACCTTCTGATCTCACTCACTTCTCCCTGCCAGTCAGTCCCTGCTGCAGCAAAACCATGTCTAAGATTCTCCCGTTGAACTTTCTCCTGTTGAACTGCTTTACTTTACATGCACTTCTCTTTTCTCCCAGAGGATTTACACGTGGTAGATTTTGGCCTTTTAGAGAAGTTCTACCTCCAGATACATTGAAAAATAGGTCTCTAAAGACTCAACCAAAAAACTGTTAGAATTCATAAACGAAGTCAGTGAAGTTGCAAGATACAAAACCATTTTTGTATACTGGCAAATGTCAGTTCTATTTCTATACATTAACAAACTAACAGAGAGAATTAAGAAAACAACCCTATTTACAAATATTACATCAACAAAAAGAATAATATACCTGGGAATAAACTTAACCAAGGAGGCTAAAGACTTGTGCAATGAAAATACTAAGATACTGATGAAAGAAACTGAAGATGACACAAATAAATGGGAAAATATACTGTGCTCACAGGTTGTAGGAAATGTTGTTAAAATGTCCACATTACCCAAAGTAATCTACAGATTCAACACAATTATATCAAAGGGCAATTTTTATGGTAATATAACCAACAACCCTAAAATCTGTATGGAACCCCAGAAGACCCAAATAGCCAAAGCAATCTGGAGAAGGAAAACAAAGCTGGAGGCATCATACTGCCCGATTCAAACTCTATTACAAAGTAACTGTAATCAAACTGTACACCGTTTTCTCCCACTCTTTCTCCTTCCCTTCCCCTTTCTCTAAAAATAAATAAATAAAATGTTTTTTAAAAAAAAAAAACTGGTATTGGCATAACAACAAGTAGATGAATGGAACAAAACAGGAGTCCAGGGAGAGAACTCATAAATATATGGTCAGTTAATTTATGACAATGGGGCCAAGCATATACAATGGGGAAAAAGTCTCTTCACTAAATCACGTTGTGAAAAATGGATAGATACATGCAAAAGAATCAAACAGAAACAGTATCTTACACCATACACACAAAAAAATTCAGAGTAGATTAAAGATATGAACATAAGACCTGAAACTATAAAACTTGTAGAAGAAAACATAGGCAGTAGGCTCCTTGATATTAGTCTTGCTCATGATTTTCTGTATTTGAAACCAAACACAAAAGCAAGAAAAGCAAAAATAAACAAGTGGGACTACATCAAACTAAAAAGCTTCTAAATGGCAAAGTAAACAATCAACAATAAAAAGGTGACCTACTGAGTGGGAGAAAATATTCATAAATCATGTATCTCATAGGAGTTAATATCTAAAATATATTGAAAAAAACTCACACAACTCACAAAAAACAATCCAATTTTAAAAATGAGCAGAGGGTGTGCTATTGCTCTTGGAAGCATACCCACGCCTCTCTTCCGTCTCAGGTGTGCATTTTTAGTTTTCTAAACTCTAAGGGTCCCCACAAGATTTGCAACCAAGGAAGCAGCAGGCAGCACCAGCCTGACTGAAGCCACCCCCGAACCTGTCTCCAAGACTCACACAGACATTTTAGTGAGCTGATAGCAGTCCTGCCTTGGCTCACTTCTTTTTCTTACAGTTTTATTATACATTTTATTAGCTCTCAAGAATGCGTTCATGTTGCCTGAGACTGACAAACCAATATACCTTGGGATAATATAGCTCTAACTTTCCTCTTGATCTTTCTTCCCTTGTGTTAAATTTATTGAGGTGACACTGGCTAACAAAATTATACAAGTTTCAGGTGCACAATTCTACTACACATCATCTGTACACCTGGGTGTTCACCAACCCAAGTCAGGTCTCCTTCCATCACTATTTATCTCCCCTCTACTCTCCTCCATCTCTCCCTTTGCTCCCAGTCCTCCCAGCAATCACCATACTTGTCGTGCCCATGAAGTTTTTTTTTCTTTTTGGTTCAATCCACCTCTCCACTGCTCCTCTTCCCCTAGCACAGCTGTCAGCCTGCTAAGAGTCTGTCTTGTTAGTTCATTTTGTTCATTAGATTCCACATATATGGGAAATCATATGGTATTTGTCTTTCTCTGATTGGCTTATTTCACTTAGCATAATGTTCCCAGGTCCATTCATGCTATTGCAAAAGGTAAGAGTTCCTACATTTTTATGGCTGAGTAATATTCCATTGTGTAAACGTACCACAGCTTTTAATCTACTCATCTACTGTTGGACACCTAGGGTACTTCCAGATCTTGGCTACTATAAATAATGCTACAATAAACATAGGGGTACCTATATTTTTTCAAATTAGTGTTTCAAGTTTCTTTGGATAAATTCCCAGACATGAATCCACTGGGTCATAATGTAGTTCCATTTTTTACTTTTTTGAGGAAACTCCATACTGCTTATGACAAAAACCACAAGAATATACAATGGGGGAAAAGTCTCTTCAATAAATCATGCTGGGAAAAGGTGGTGGATGCACTAGTCTGCATTCCCACCAATAAGCGCATGTAGGTTCCCTTTTCTCCACATCCTTGTCAACACTTGCTGATTGATGATAGCCATTCTGACAGGAGTGAGCTGATATCTCACTGT